ACTAGAGAGGTGCCTGCCTGGTCCCTTCCCCAGCCCAGTCATCCCCCAGGTCACCTACAGGGAGGCCCAGTCTGGCCCGGGGCTGAAATCTCAATACCAAGTGAAAGAACGAGGCAAGAGCTCTTGCTGAGGCTGAGGCGTGCGCCTGAGAAACAGGTTTAACTTGCACTTGGAGCGAGCGTCCGTCCGTCGATCGCTGCTGGCCAGGGCAGACCTCTGGAGGTCTAGTCCCTGCGGAGCCCGAGCCAGGTTAAAAGCCGGTCTAGAAAGTTTATAGCCCGAGACAGCCAACCATCGCTGCAGAGGGAGGAGGCAGAGTTGTACCGACACCGCCGAAGCTGTCTGAGGGAGTTACCGGGGGTGGCAAGGACTAGTTGCATATGCCGGCCGAAGACCCCGAGCGCCATGCTCTAAATTCCTCGGTAAACAGCAAGGCAAACTTGGGGTTGGCCACAGCGGAATCACTCTGAGTACGAGTGGTGCAGGTGACCACCAGCTGTCCCCCCCGTCCTACCCTGCCCAACAATGCTGAGTGAACACACTGCTACTTGGGGACGGTCGGTCGCTGGCCTTTCTATGGCGCTCCCGGGTATTGTCCAGCTCTGCCCCTCTTGGGCAGAGACGACAGGCCTCGCAGCCTCTGTCGCTGCTACACCACAGGGGATTGGCCAGGCCCGGGCAGGAAGGCAGTTTGCTCACCCACCCAGGACCGGACGTGAAGTCTCAGGGGACCCCAGTCTCACGAAACTCATGAGTCCTGTTCCCAGGGCCAAGCTCCACTGCTGCCCCCTCTGTAAGCGACACCTTTCCTCCAGCCCCTTCCTCGGGCCACTGGGGCTGGGGCCAGAGCACAATGGGGTGGGAACAATCTTCACTTCAGTGTCCCCCGAGCCTCTGGGGCTGTTTTTATGACGCCCAGTAAGCTGTATTGGAGGCTCGCCAGCCTGAAGCTGAAATGTGTGGGGGTGTCTGGACTGCCCATGGCTGGGAGCATGGCTGGCGTTCGGTAGGGGAGTGGGGACCGGCTGCATTCTCCAGACAGTCCTGTGCAGGGACAACTGTCCCGCCTGAAAGCCTCCCGTGTTCCTTAGAGAAGCCCGTGCGCGCTGGGAAGAGCACTGTCCTCCAAGTGAAGCGCATAAGCCACACCCCCGCCTCCTCCCGTGGGGGTCTGGCCCTGGCTGGCGGGAAGCCTCCTTACCTGGACCTTGCCGTGTGGATGGAGCACCTGTCATCCAGAAGCATGTCAAGGCCATGCGGACTTGCTAGCAGAGAGAGAGACGCGGTTAGAGCCGAGGCGAGGTGGCCAGATGTGCGAGGGGCGGTGTGGAGGGAGCGTGTCCACGCCCGCAGGGCTGGGCCAGCACCCAGTGAGGAGCTGGGAGAAGTGGTGAGGCTCCAACAGGGACTTACTGTGCCAACCACTTAAAAGACAGAAGGCCCCAAATCTGAATAATGGGGCAGCTCGAAGACAGGACTCTGTATAGCAGGGAGACACTGGCACGGTGCCCTGCTGTTCACCAGCTCAGCAGTGAGCCGCTGCTGAGGGAGGGAGTACAGGGGCTGTGCACTGTCACTGTCCTTTCGGAGAGCATTAAGGCAACATTTCCATTTTTTAATTAAACAATATATGTGGCTCTTAGGAATGTGCCAGGCACCTGTACTAATTAACAAACAGTAAGTCATTCAATCCTCATACAACCATATTAGATATTGTCATCCTGGCTCCAAGAGCACAGCTGGTAAGAGGCAAAGGTTTGCACCCAGACAGTCTGGATCTAGGATCCGTGCTCTGAACAAGGACCCCAAGCTACTTTCCGATGTGGTGAACATCAGAACTTGACCATTTTGCATATTCTTGACCTAGAAATACCTCCGGTAAGAATTGATCCGAAGTAAATACCCAGCACCCCCCAGGAGGAATTCACAGGTGGGAACGTCCGTGCAGCGTTGATGGTAAAGAGCGCACCCAGAGCCAACCATGACAAGGCTCCTTCCTTGTCACTTGCTCTCAGGGAAGTGCCTGGGGCCTCAGGAAGGGGTCTTCCACTTCAGCGTGCCCTGCCTGGCCTCTGGACGAGCCACCCTCAAGACTTACCTTCATGCATGAGTTTCTCCATTCAAGAGTCAAAATAGTTTGACCTCTTTTAATACACATGAAATTATACTGCAGGCACCAAAAATATCAGATACTGAGGGACCATAATCTATCAAAATCAGTCTTTACCTAATCACCTACAGAAAATTATCTTAAATGTAGAAAAAAATTTATTGAGAGCTTTATACCAGACAGTTTTGAGTGTGCTGAATGTACTATCTCATTTAATTTTCATGCATACTGTTAAGGTAGGGACTCTTCTTCCTGTTTTGCTTAAATGGAATGAGGGGTTTAGCAGACTGTCCTTGTGGTAGGTGGGCTCTGGACAGTGTGGTCAACACAGAAAAGCAAGTACCTCCAGGGCCAGGGGTCTCAGAGGCTCTTTATCCACACCACACAGCCCTGGGAGACACAGCTGCTCCCAGGACAGACCCCTGGTGATTGCATCCGCAGCCTGGTAGGCTGGGGCCTTGCCGCCAAGCCTGCCCTTCCCGGCACTCCTGTACTTCCAGCTGCTGGGCCCATGACAACCAACCAAGCACCAGTGGGTCACCAGGAGGGCACATGCCCAGCACTGGCCTCACGTAAACCATGGAGGGAGCAGGGGGACGCTGTAGCTTTCAATGGAGAGCAGAGCCTGCAAATCCCACTCTGGCGGCAGGAGCCTGGATAGCGGCGAGAAGACCCGTCCCTCTGGTCTGTGCTTTGAAAACTCACATCCCAGCACGAATCAAAGCCAAGTTCCTAGGGAGCCGGGCAGGGCCTCCTTCAGAACAAGCTCCTGGGTCTCAGACACAACCTCCGTGTGCCGACCCGGGCAGTGTCTTTAGGACCCCGCCCTGCACGAGGCCATCATGAGGGAAGGCGGGGGAACAGCACCCGAATGACACAGGACTCAGCACCGGCCCTGCCTTTCGCCCAGCACTTTCATCCCGACCTTGGCAGGTTCGGGGCTACCGTCTGACTGTAAGATTCCCAGAGCCTGACTGATGTGTCGTTTCCAGAAGGTGAAACCTTTGCGTCCTTGGAGCTGGTGGTGGGTGTGCAGAATGACTTCACCATGGGAGCCCCCCCACTTGCTCACTGTCTTATCCTGGGGAAGGTGCTGTGGACTCAACTGTATCCCCCAGATTTTTTAAGCTGAAGCCCTAATCCCCAATACCTCAGAATATGACTGGATTTGGAGACAAAGCCTTTAAGAGGTGATGTTAAAGTGAGGCTTTAGGATGGGCCCTCTCCCGTCTGACTGGTGTCAAAGAAACCGAGATGAAGACAGAGAGGGGAACACCAGGGACAGGGCCACGGAGAGGGGCATGGAGGAAACCACACTGCCGACCCCGGGGTCTGGGCCCGCCTCCGGAACCGCGACAGGGTCTCCTCTCAGCAGCCCAGGTGGCAGTGTTTTGCTATCACAGCCCCGGCAAAGCGATACTTCGGGTCACAACCGCACTGTGTGCCAACCACGCCCCCCACAACTCAGGACGGTCAGCACGTGAACACAGAAAAACTAAGGATTGTTTGGTTAATACTTTTAATTACATGATTATAATCATACAATTTCCACTCTTCAACATTTTGTATAAAACCAGTTACAGTACACACGGTTTTTCAAACGCAACACTACGTATCAAACTACATAGATATGCAAATTTACACGCTGTTTTGAAGCTTCATCTTAAAAATACCTTCAGGAAAATAAACATTCATTCAACCAATTCTCTCAGCTTTATAAAATACGGTTAGAAATATACATTNCGTCCCCTTCTGTCCCCTTCCGTCGTCTCCTCTCAGCAGCCCAGGTGGCAGTGTTTTGCTATCACAGCCCCGGCAAAGCGATACTTCGGGTCACAACCGCACTGTGTGCCAACCACGCCCCCCACAACTCAGGACGGTCAGCACGTGAACACAGAAAAACTAAGGATTGTTTGGTTAATACTTTTAATTACATGATTATAATCATACAATTTCCACTCTTCAACATTTTGTATAAAACCAGTTACAGTACACACGGTTTTTCAAACGCAACACTACGTATCAAACTACATAGATATGCAAATTTACACGCTGTTTTGAAGCTTCATCTTAAAAATACCTTCAGGAAAATAAACATTCATTCAACCAATTCTCTCAGCTTTATAAAATACGGTTAGAAATATACATTTTAATCTTAAAAAAAATCAAGACAATGACTGATCAAATACTGATTAATCAGTTACATTTTAAAACTTAATCTGTACATGAGTGCAGGTTAGATAAAAGTATGCAAGTTATCAATATAAAACTGCAGAACTCTGATCAGATGAACATATCTGCTGACAGTTAATTCTACTAGGCAACTGAGGAGGTAATTTCCTACAGTACAGGCGAGCTGGCCAGTCCTTTACAAAAGCCCAGCCGTAGTACTTCTCTTAGCGACATGGAGAACGCTCAGGTTTGGGGGAAATGGAAGAGCAGCAGCTGGCCTCGCAGGACAGTTTGAGTGGGAGATAACTATTAAAGAATTAAAGTAGGCTTTTAAGTTGTTTTTGATGAGCACTGCTTTCCAATGCGATAATTACTTTAAAAACACACAAAGAGAAACAGCCCCTTTCACAACGAACGTTGAAGGAGTGCACTGCTCACTCGTCACGACAGTGAGTCAAGCAGAGGAGTGGCACCCGGAGCTCTTGGCACAACACGGCCCAGACGCTGAGCCTGCCCAGCTGCCCAGCCAGGGACCAGGCTCCTGAAGGAAACACCTTCATCTCGGGAAAACAATGGGCAGCGCCTCTAAAACTTGTCTGGGCCCCGGGAAAGAGGTAGAAACCACCCCTGAGACGGGAGGTCAGGGAACGGGGACGGGGGGGGG